TTAAATGTCTCTTCTCTTTCTATTCATTTATACTCCCTTATTCAGCGATTGCATCTCATGTCAAGATGTTAAATATCATTAGGAGTCTTATGACTCTGAAATTTTTATCTCTATCCAATTCCTCAAGGAGCCCTTGTCGAGTAAAAGGTTATGTGTTGGGCTGCAAACTACAAGCTCAGCAGTTCAAACCCACCAACTACTCCACAGGAGAAAACTGAGGCTTTCTGCCCCCAGAAACCATAGGGGTCAATAAGGTCACTATGACTTGGAATTGACTGATGGCCCTGAGTTGTGAGGCAATTCTTCCTTTCTAAAGGGCAGCTTTTATACCCAGCAGCTTACTGATGTGATTGTTTAGAGTTTTCATATGGAAAAAGTATAGCATTCAACTCCTGATTCCCCCACCTCCATCGTGATGCATGGTAGCTTGCCCTTTCTGTTTTCAGACCTTGGCGATATAGATAGATATAGATAGATAGATAGATAGATAGATAGATAGATAGACCTTAGCAATATGTATATGTATATATATATATATATATATGGCTCATACAACTCTTATCACAATCCATGCATACATCTATTTTGTCAAGCACATTTGTACACTTGTCGCCCTCATCATTCTCAAAACATTTGCTTTCTACTTGAACCCTTGATATTAGCTCATTTTTTCCCTTCCCTCCCTGTCCCCCTCCCTCATGAACCTTTGATAATTTATACATTATTATTGTTTTGTCATGTCTTACACTGTCTGATGTCTCCCTTCACCCACTTCTCTGTTGTCCGTCCCCCAGGGAGGGGGTTATATGTAGATCCGTGTAATCAGTTCCCCCTATCTATCTACCCCACCTACCCTCCACCATCCCAGTATCTCCACTCTCAACACTGGTCCTGAAGGGATCCGCTGTCCTGGATTCCCTGTGTTTCCAGTTCCTATCTGTATCGGTGTACATTATCTGGTCTAGCCAGATTTGTAAGGTAGAATTGGGATCATGATAGTTGGGGGGGAGGAAGCATTTAAAAACTAGAGGAAAGTTGTATGTTTCATCGTTGCTACACTGCACCCTGACTGGCT